GCCCGCGTGACGTCATTGCATATAATTATGACGTATGTTAATGAGTGACGTCATTACGCACCCTCACTCCACCACACTCCTCCTCACTTCTCCTCACTCCTCCTCACTCCTCCTCACTCCTCCTCAAAAATGGGGCCCGAACGGCCTCTATATTACTACTCCCATTCAACACTAAGTCTTACTTTACCTATTCCCTTGTTAAACTCTTGTTGATCAACTGTTGAATGGGCAGCACGAAATGGATCCAGTATATATTACGTGCCAGACCATATGCTGGATCACCTTATATAACATACATTTCGCCATTGGGCATCTCGAATCTTTGCAGTTGTTCTGCTAAGGGACCATTCATTAATTATGACAGGGGGTGGGCTGGCAAAAAAGTGTGTGGGTCACGAGGTATTTTTGACCAAAAAAGGCGGGGGGGGGGTCATCTAATAAAAATATTGGTTCAGAAGGGGGGTCCAGTTATTTTATTATAGTGGGGGGAAATTTGAATTTAACCATTATTGCTATCGCAGGGGCAAGCAAGACAGCAAATTTAATTAATGCAACTGGCAAAATTCTCAATTTGATCAACAGATAGACCCAAAATGCAATGCGCAAAAACCAAAAATGTAAGGTTACCTTATAACATTTGCCATAAATATTTGTCATGTTTCCCTGGGGCCGGTTGTTCAAAGTTGGGTTAGCTAATTAACCCTGGGTTAACCTAAAATTCAAAGCAAACTTCCTCACAGCTTGTCTATAAATATGGAAATATTTCTTCAGAGATCTTCTCTACTTCTCTGAAGTTTTGAAATAAACAGACGTGCAAAAATACATACAGTAAAGCAGTTGGTTAAATTTTAACCCAGGATTAGCGCTAACTTATGTACATTTAATAAAAAAGACAGTCACGATAACGAGTAAGCGATGTGGCAATTTGGCGTATACTATATACACGAGTATACAGCTATTTCAATTAAGGTTGTTCCCCGTGCAACGCGGAAAAGTCGAATACGAGCGCGAAAGGCTGCTGGGATTCGCTAATAAATAAATGAATGAATATATTAGCGATTCCCAGCAACATTTCGCGCTCGTATTCGACTTTTCCGCTTTGCTTGCGCGCGGGACAACCTTAATCGAAATAGCTCTATACTAGGTCTTTTACACATGGTTTAATTTAGTATGTAGATGATGTGTGCTATAGTAGAAAATATAATTTGTAGTGAAGAAAATACACTGAAACTGGATTCTAATTTTTAAATCAAAATTCTTCTGGCCAGTCTAAAGTTTGAATTAGCAGAATTTATTCCGATTTAATTGCTGAAAGCACATGTAAATTTAGATGTGATGCATGGTCCTGTGTCTATGTATACATCTGTGGTGGTGGTGGTGGTGGTGGTGGGAGGCGGGGGGTCTATTTTTTAGAATTCATATGAAGGGAGTCTATGAATTTTTTGTGATGCGGGAGCAGGACATTTTGTTTACTTGTTAATCGAATTTTGCCAGCCCGCCCCCGGTCATAAATAATGAATGGTCCCTAAGCCACTCACACCAAGCATAAATGCATCATGTCTCCTCCCCTATATGGGCCCGAACAAATTTGCTATGAGGCCATTAGGAGCGTGGACCGACTGGAAAATAATTATGATGATACAATAATAATTATAATAACAATGGTAGTAATAATAACAGTAATATAAAAATTGTAAAAAGCAAATTTTTTGCCGTGCAGTGCCACTACAAAACCTAGATGTTTTGTTACCCGGAACTTCAAGCAATAAATTATTTTGCGCCACACTATGTACATGATTTGCTGACGGCGCGTTGCACGAGCAATTGGCCTTTCAGTACCATCAATAAAGCCCCATCATTGGGTGAGAGGTACTCCTTTAGCAAGAACACATTGTGAAAAAACCTCGAGGTTGATCCATACCAGGTCTAAGGAGCTGAGTAAATGCTTAAACGGCCATGAATGTCATCTGTACTATCTATAAAATTGAAATATTTGGTTTTTATATTGAGTATGCATGTGTTAATACAATGCACAAAGATGACACAGCCCAGCATTTTGTGGGTGAGATTCATCTCGTTGGTACATGAAAAGAATTAAACACCCATGAAGGACAATAGAGACAAATTATATGTTAGTACCGAGTAAAAATAAGACTCATCTCGGACTCACTCCTTCCAAAGATATTTACCAGATCACACCACATGTTGGGGTAGGCCAGCATCCGCTGCAGGATCATGAGGGGTTCCATTCCAGTTGCATTTGTTCGTATACAGCATGTTAACTTATAACGATCAAGCCGACGGTTGCAAGTAGCTGTTTGTGACAACGTCGCCCAATGCCACGTAGCCATTCGGGGTGTTGACTCTCCAAAATGAACCATTCTTCGCTCCTCCAGAGCCCTTATCATTCCATTCCTGATGGTAATTCACTGGATGCCTTATGAGGTCGGGATGCGAAGGCTTCACCAGAATTACGGATGATACGGGCACATCTTCTGCGTTGGTTTGACAAACTGCAACCTGGCCAATAATATAGCAGCCGTCAGGAATTTCGTCCATTGCAGCCTGGAAAACACTGATACCTGTTGGAACATTCGTGTCGAGATCGTCGTACACCTTTTCTATCTTATCCGCAATTCGGATGTCAAAAACAATTTTCGCCATATTGTATCACAATTTGTATGCAGAGTGAGTTTGGAAACATGCTTTTATAGAGCCAAGAGCACGTGATTTTGTCTTCGTATTATTGATTGCACATATTACAACCATCGTTAGATAGATGAGTAGATAGACAAAGATAGACAAAAATAGACAAAGATAAACAAAGATAGACAAAGATAGACAAAGTTACTAACAGTTACTTGATTTCACAGGAAGGCTATTTGATATTTTTAAAGTTGCAAAATATTAATATAACGCAAATAGCAAATATTGTCTTCCTATTATTGGCCAATAAGGTGAAAATCTGCTCTAGTGAGACATTTCACAGTTTTCAAACCACGCACAAGAAAACTCTGCCCTATAGGGCGCGTACGCGGCTGGGTTTCGAACCCGCAACCTTCGAATTACTATATCGATGCTCAACTGAGCTCCACGGGCAGGACGAATCGAAGACTGGAAATTATTATTAAAAATATAGAAGTTTTTGAAATAGGAAGTTTTTTATACAAAGGCTACAACATGCAGAACAAAGAACTTTGCCAAGGTTAATTAATTCGTAACGATATTCTGCTTTTCAAAACCCAAAATAAACTTTCATGATTTTTCACATCAATGCGTGCAATTATTGACTTTTTTTGTATAGTGAGTTTACTAGTTTGACTTGACATTTGTCTTGTATTGCTAAACGATAAACGAAACTTAATTCAACAAATTTGATCTCTTTCTGATAAAAAATGATTTCGTGATTATCGTTATTGATAAAGACTTTGCTTAAAGATCGTTATATATAATGCTATCGCTTAGAATCTTAGAAATAGAGAAACCGGATAACACCTACAATATCACAAACAGAGAAAATGAAGAAGCTGAAGATACACTTTTTGTAGTATATGTATGCTGGCCTTTGTATTATAACAGCCTATAACCTTTTTTGCATTATAACATCTAGCCTCAACAAATACTAAAGGCCCTGTCACACTATTGCGTATGAGAGAACCGTATGAGAAGCGTATGAAAATTAATGAAATAGTTTTCATACGCACAAAAATCCTTTGAAATGCCAGCGTATGAGTACGGTACATCTGGCGTACCTCTAGCGTATTCAGCGTCTGCCTAGAGTATGCTTATCGTATAAAGCATACGTCCGATACGCACACAATTTTTGAACATGCTTAAACAAAATTTTCTGCCTCGCCGTATGCCAGCGTATGCCACCGTATGCGACCGTGCTTGAAACGTATACAACCTATGCCTAACGTACCCCTAGCGTATGTCAGCGTATACCGGTGTATGAGTGATATTTTTCATACGCTGGCATACGCTTGTACGATACGCAATAGTGTGATAGGGCCTTAATGCAGGTTTCCACCAGGGGCGTGACCAGACAATATATTATACATACAGGAACAAAAAATGCACGCAGTATGTTACATAATAATAAGAAAATTAAAGGAAAAGATAATGAAAGTCGAATCAAGAGAACACTATGAATATACATATATCCTAGAAGCAGATTCAATGATGAAAGTTCACGAGGCAAATCCTTTGTTTAGTTGCTTTAATGGCACTTAGGGATGGGGTATTTTTGCCCCATAATGTATATATATAGGTTATTTAAAAATTCAGAAATATAATAGTTAAGTAAGCACAGCATCTTGCCGAAATCCTTCTTCAGTTTCGGAGTTAGACGCAATATCAATTTCTCTCTAGAAGGATTGTAGGTGTTGTCCGTCTCTCTATTTCTAAGGTTCTGAGTGTATCTTTCACTATGGATATAGGCGGTAGTTCTTTACACTTTCTTGATCTCCTTATCACCATAGATCAAAACAAATTGGATACCTCAGTGTATAGTAAGCCCACGGATGCCCATTTATATCTTAATGCTGATTCGTGCCGTCCGAAGTCACAAATACTAGGCATTGCTAAAGGGGTTGCTTTACGATTACGCAGAATATGTTCTAAGGATGAGGATTTTAAAACTAAAAGTGATGAATATGCCAGTTATTTAATAAAATGTGAGCATCATAAAGAGCATGTTTTGGAGAAATTTAGCGAGGTTTTTAATTTGAGACGGGACGAAGCACGCAATAGAAGAATTAATTCTGTTGGAAATCATTGTGTACTTAGTGTAAAGTTTTATCCCCGCGGGCCTAATATACAGATCATTAGAAATAGTCTAGGACCTGTATAGATGTTTTTATGCGTTTCATTTAGCACAGGTAATCTCAACAGTTTTAGGGTAAAATGACCATGGCGGTCAACATGGCATATGTGCCAAAACCTGAATCCGGGGCGAAAGTCCTGAAAATGACCCCGCCCTGAAACGGCAGTGACGACATAGATCTAACTTCCGAAAAGCAAAAGCGACAGCCTTTCTGAAGTGCTTATAGTGTTTAGAAGGGTTGCTTTTAGGGTGGTCATTGGAAGGAAAAATTTGTCTGAGTATAAATTTTACCAGAAAATGACTATGCACCACCCCAGGTAAATTGCTGATTATGCACAAAATAACTAATATGCCTGGCAGAAATTTAATGTTCTTATTTCCCAAAGAAAATTATCATGGGATGAAAACTATGCTTAATTTAATATAATTATTGTAGTTTTCATAAGGATTGTCATTGTTTTCTTTAAATATAATACATTTTAATTCACTAACCCCCCACCAAAACACCATTTCAGCCATACTTTCCCGTCTTGTTTGCTTTTTATCGCCGAGTCTCGCTGATATCATCCAGTTGTTGCACTTTTACATAATGATAGATGGCTAAAGACGATTTCGACGAAGTTTAATGAAGTTTTGAAACAGTGCAGCATATTTTATCTTCGAAATTGTGTCCTTCGATATTTCGCCAAATTGCCGCCATTTTAATGGCTCGCCGCTTCTATGCCCGATAAATGCCACTTCTTCGTCTTCCTATGTGTTTAGACTATACAGTATCCAAGAGTACTTCGTTGTAGAATAGTCCCAATCGAAAAAATGAAAACATTTGTTGGGTTTTGATGGCAAAACCCTTCAGGTAATCATTTAGGTTCAAAATAAAATACATTTGAAAGTCACACGCAATCTTCGCGAAAACCTCTCGTGGACACATGACAGGGGGTAAATATTTTCACGAAACGTTCGTTCGCAACCACAGAAACCTAAAATATATTGTATTTTTATGAATTATGATAAAAAGAATAAATAGTTGGGTAGGTTTATCATATAATACATAAAAATAAAATAAATACAATATATTTTAGGTTTCTGTGGCGGCGAGCAAACGTTTCGTGAAAATATTCCCCCCCCCCCTGTCATGTGTCCACGAGAAGTTTTCGCGAAGATTGCGCGTGACTTTCAAATGCTTTGTATTTTATTTTGAACCTAAATGATCACCTGGAGGGTTTTTCCATCAAAACCCAACAAATGTTTTCATTTTTTCGATTGGGACTATTCTACAACGAAGTACTCTTGGATACTGTAGTCTAAACACATGGGAAGACGAAGAAGTGGCATTTATCGGACATTTATCGGGCATGTATATATATATATATATATATATATATATATATATATATATATATATATATATATATATATATATATATATAGATAGATATATATAGATATATATATATAGATATATATATATATAGATATATATATATAGATATATATATATAGATATATATATATAGATATATATATATAGATATATAGATATATATATATAGATATATATATATAGATATATATATATAGATATATATATATAGATATATATATATAGATATATATATATAGATATATACCGGGTGTCCCAAAAAAAAGTACTCCGGTTTGATTTATAATAACTTCTAAACAAGTAAAGCTATCAAACAGAAATAACTTGCATTAATTAGAGGAAGGACTAACTTAGATTTTGATATATTACAGTTGTATTTTACTTAAAAATTCACGGAGATATTAATGTTCAAAATCGGGAGCATATTTTGGGATGTGTCTAAAATTTGCGAAAATCGGCATATCAAATATTAACTCCAGCGTTTGTTTGCTTAATGACATATCAGGCTAATTTGTATTCCAGCGAATTGTTGTTAGGGTTTGTAAGGGATATGGCGTAGATTTAGACATCTTACATGTAAGTCTCAGCTCATTGTTTCCTCAAATATGAACGTTCGAAATTATTTAATAGGTCTTTACAAACTTAAAGGTACATGAAAGACCATGCAAGACAGGCGCTTAAATTTTTCTTAAATAGCCTAATTATTTTTTGTTTTTCATGGGTTCAAAACAGAGTTGATTATTTCTCGGTTAGAGCAGGATGAATATTATTCTTTAATGAATGAAATAATATTGCTTTTTGCAAACACACATCACAGTATCAACTCTACTATTTTTTTGTTACGTTTTGTTCCAAAAATGTTGGATGTCTCTGGGGAGTTGCTTGTTATTTCTTATGGAGTTGTATGGTTTGATTGTGTTTTATTCTCACTTTATTCTGAACTTGCCAGGATCAAGAAAGGAAAAAGAGTTTGGGCGTTCTTGACAAGATTTTAGAACGTTGCAGAAGTTATAAGAGCTTCACAATTCCATTGTGACAGCATGCCCTAATTCAGAATTACGAACGACCCATGACGATCCTTCGCGATGCAGTGGTCTCATGAAATAAGGAACTTGACGTATTCGTGCTAGGAACACACGCGGATTTCGGACGAATAAATTTATTCTTGCTTGGATTTTGTAGATAATAATACTTTGTTTCATAATAAACAATTTGTTAAGTGTAATATATTTACTGGTAATAGTGCATGTTTAATTCAGTCGGGCAAATCTTTATTAATATTTGATACGCCGTTTTTTGCATATTTCAAACACATCCAGAAATATGCTCCCGATTTTAAACATTAATATCTCTGTGAATTTTTAAGTGAAATACAACTGTAATATATCAAAATCTAAGTTAGTCCTTCCTCTATTTGATGCAAGTTATTTCTCTTTAAAAGCTTTACTTGTTTAGAAG